CGCCTGAGAGGACGGTGTGGACATCTCCCAGGCACGCCCGATGCGATCTCGCGCCGCCTGACACCACAGGCAGATCCGCTGCCAGGCGCGGGGTCGGGCTCATGGGCTGTCGGTCTGGTCGTAGCTGCCACCGTGACGCACCTCTGCGCCGACTTCTATCGAGGGCGCGGTCACCGACGAGCGAGCGCCATGGCCAGGCCGCCCTCCCGAGCCCCACGTCCAGCTGCCCCGGCTCCTGCGACCACAGTCTGTGCGGCTCTTGCGGTGCTGGTTGCCAGGGCCGTCTTCGCGGCGCGCATCTCCGCCTTCGTGGCCAGGCGAGTGGCGGGGCAGATCACTTGAGTCGTGGTACCGAGCACGGTGGGTTCCACGGGTGTGGGTACCGATGCGGGTGAGTAAGTAACGCGGCAGATGAGCTAGGGTCCTGCATCTCGAGCGTCTTGCTGGTGTACTGGCTCGCTCGGCAGAACACGAAGCTTTGGAGGGGGCGAACTGAGTTATCCGGGGGGTGCATGGACAAGTGGGCCATTCATCGGGTGGATGGCACGAAGGGGCGCAAGAAACCACAGTAGGGAATGCGCATCGTGCAGCCGCCCACTTGCACCGCGCGCCTCGACCATTTTAGCGGAAGGCAGCTTTGGTCAGATAGATGACATTTGGGTTGTCTCGACCTTTCCACGCTGCTTGCAGGTCAACGTTCGCCATGTTCTTGTGACCTCTGTTTGCTTAATGCTTTTGCTGTTGCACTAGACGCGACGAACTTGCCTCCGCGGTGTGTTAACGGAGGCGGGGGAGGCTGATAGGGGGAAGACGAGGAGGCGGTAGCCACCATGTTGTGCGGGCATCGTCGTCGCCATTTCTGTCCTGCTTTCCTGTCTTTTGCCAGGATTCTTCTGGAACGCTGATAATTGCTGCATGAAGCTACATGGAGAGGTACATTATGCGGACGAGGAGGAAAGGGGCGGAGGAGGGAGGAGGACGGAGGGGGGAGAGAGACAGAGAGGGGGGGGGAACGAGGGAACGGGAGGGAGGGCGAGGGAGGGAGGGGGGACGGCCTGGCCCACGGAGCAGCTTCCCCCTGGGCGCGGAACGCTTTTCCAGCGCTTCAATGGACAAGGGTTCCATGAGCCGGATGGATGGCCTACTTGGGGCCCCTGGCGATCATCCGGTCCGATGGCCTGCTTAGGGGTTCAAAACGGCGCGGGCGGGAAGGGTTCCCGCGGAACGGCTTCCATGCGCTGGATGGATGGCCTACTTGGGGCCCCGGGGGGCGGCCCGGCCTCGCGCGGGGCGCGTGCAAGCCGCGGAGGCCCATGAGCCGGATGGACGGCCTACTTGGGGCCCCCGGCGGGGGGCCCCCCATGAGCCGGATGGATGGCCTGCTTATAGGGCCCCCGGCGATCAGCCGGTCCGATGGTCTGCTTAGTTAGGGCCTTGAAGCGGCCTGGCGGAATGGCGTTCGGGGGGGCTTCTCGGATCTCCCGGGCAGCCCTGCTGATGAGAGCCGGGGAGGGGCGGATGGGGCAGAGGGCAGCGGGCGGGAGGGCGGGAGGGCAGGGGGGAGGATTGGATTGGGAGCGAGGAGTGGCAGCGGACAAGGGCGCGCGAAGGCGAGAGAGAGAGAGAGAGAGAGAGGACAGGGGAAGGACTGGGAGAGGGGAGGGGGGGGGAGGCAGGCGGGGGAGGAAGGAGAGGGGAAAGATAAGGGGTGGCAGGAAGACGGAGCGGTTGGAAAGGGCAGGAGGGCCACCAGCAAGGGTTAGTGCACAAGGGAGAGCATGGCAACGGCCGCCGCGGCGACATGACAGAGCGCGGCCTTCGACGAGGATAAGGAGACGAGAAGGATAGAGGGTGGCAGCAAAGCAATCTCCACTTGCGGCGTCGGCGCGAAAGCGGTCTGCGAGTGGAGGGGGCTGAACTGCTCCGAACGTCGCGCGGAACGACGTTCCCAAATCGTGGAATGTTTCCCCGAACGCCGTTCCGTACACCCATTCGACGACCCACCTTCTGGATGGCCCAAAGCTGCGCCAGGCGCTCGGGGGCCCTTCGCCAGACACTCAGTGGGCCGCGCACTTCTGCTGCTACTGGTGTTGTGCATGCTGTACGGCCATGCAGGAGGGCATGCGTGTGGACGGGATCACCAATCGAAACCAAGTGTCTCAGCCAGCCCAACCAGCCAAGCCAACTAACCCAACCAGCCAACCCGCCAACCGACCCAAGCAGCCACTCCTCCACCGAACTCGCCAACCCCTGCCGCCTGCATTCCGTCACTACCAAGGGGGGGGAAGTCTTTCTTCCCAGACCCCCGACGTCATGATTTTTTTCATGACGCGACCCCCGAAGGTCCGGACCCATTCCCTGGGACCGGTTTCTCATCCTGAGTCGTTTTTTGACGGTCCCGAGGCCCAGTGAGGTCCCCAAGAGGCCGAAAATGGGGAAAAACCTCCCGTCATGATTTTTTCATGACTCGAGGGGGTCTGGGTTACAAGTGAAGATGGCTGCGAACCGCCTTCCGAGGACCAGGCTGGCAGCCGGGGGGGGGGGAGGAGGAGGAGGAGGAGGAGGAGAGGAGGAGGAGGAGGAGGAGGAGGAGGAGGAGGAGGAGGAGGAGGCAGAGGAGGAGAGGAGGCAGAGCAGAGGAGGGAGGAGAGGAGGAGGAGGAGGAGGGGAGGAGGAGGAGGAGGAGGAGGAGGAGGAGGAGGAGGAGGAGGGGAGGAGGAGGAGGAGGAGGAGGAGGAGGAGGAGGAGGGGGAGGGGGAGGGGGGGGGAGGGGGGGAGGAGGGAAGGGGAGGAGGAGGAGGAGGAGGGAGGAGGAGAGGAGGGAGGAGGAGGAGGAGGAGGAGGAGAGGACAGGAGGAATGATCATTTAGTGGGCTATGATCCATGATATTTCCCAAGATTTCGTGGCGCCTCTACTGATTTCAGTACGTCCCTGGCCCCCCGCTTTGGCCGCGCACATGCCGCCAGCCATGATTTACACCCCCCCTCTTGGACGCCCCCCTCTTGACCGCCCCCGAGTAAGCGAGAGCCAGAACAGCTACGAATTGGAAAGGACGGGGAGGGAGCGGGAGAGAAGGAGGATGAGGATTAAGACCAGTGCGAACCCAAGATGCGTCAACGGTGTGGCAAATGCCCTCTCTCTCTCTCTCCACGTTCTCTCTTCAGAGGCCCCTTCAATAATCTATTTCACTGCAGAAGTGTCCTGTTGGAAAGTAGCCGTCTGAGAATCCCCAATCTTGCCAAAACACAGTTCGTTGAAATTCAACACGGTGAATCAAAGCTACTGCTGCGCCCTGACAATCCTAAATTGCGCAGGAACGCCACTCCTGGGACTTCACCATGCGAATCCTCGAAACTGTCGGAAACGTTTAAGACTCATAGGCGCGGCGTTAAGACGAGAGCCACATTTTGAAAACGCCCAGCCTTCCATCCGTGAAACCTTTACAAACTTTTTCGACGATAGGGCGCGGCGCTCAGGCGAGAACCGCATTTTGAGAACCCCACGTCCTCCACCAGTGAAGCTCTTGCGAACTTCTCAGGCGAATGTGTGCGGCGCCAGGGCGATAGCCACATTGTGAACACCGTCCGCCCTCCATCCGCGAAGCTGACACCGCAGCGCTCCGACAAAAAGCGACCTTGGCCCCATGGGTTTCTGCCCCCGCGAGGGGCGCTGCAGGGCACGAGCGGAGGTTGGGACTGGCGTGCGCGGGCTCGCCTGGCGTGGCCGACGGGAGGCGCTCGCACGCGCGCGGCCCCGCCTCCGACGACACGGCGAGGGACACCCGTGGGCCCCCCACGGGCGTCGTCCACGTGCAGAGGGAGGGGCAGGGGGGAGGGGGGAAGGCTTCTGAGAAGCACACCTGCTTCTTGGAAGGTGCGGGCCTTGGTCTACACCTTAGGCGATGCTGAAGAAAACTTAAGTTTTCGACCAGAGTCTCGATTATTCTTAATGTTTCAATGTAACTCCTAAGATTTGAATAGAACTGGTGGGTTTTTATTCAAGTTCTGAGACTATGGATTTCTTAACCCATGATTTCTTAACCATTTCGCGTGGTGTATAGGTGTAGGGCCGGCGCCTTCTGAGACGCGGCCTCCTTCTCGGAAGCCTTTCCCCCTCCTCCTACCCCGCTCCTGCCGCCGCCCAAGGCGGCAACAGAACTTTTACGGACATTCTTGCGCGGCGCTGAGGCAGCAGCATCACGGAGCCCGTTCGCGCGCAGACAAGTTTCGGACAGGAGTGGCGAGGGCAAGCCAGGCGGCGCGCCCACGCGGGAGCGCGAAACGGCGTTTTGTTCATGCGTGCGCGGTCCCTATCCCCATATTCCGACGCGCCGCGCCCATGTGGCAGCGCCCCTTTCAGGCGACATCTGCGCGGCGCTTGGTCGAGATCGACTTTTTGCCAGCTCGCGCGCTGTCCCGCGTCCGACACGTGCGCGAGCGAAGGTGTGCGCCGCGCCTGGGAGGGAATGCAACTTCTAGAACGAGCAGGCGCGGCGCCGAGACGAGAACGACACATGTCGCGCTCTCGTGCACACCGTGCGCCGCGTCAAATGCTTGCCTTGACACCTACAGTCGAGCATCTGATGCAGAAGCCTCCTCCCGAAAAGCTGTGCTGGCGTTTCTCACCCAGCCTGCCGGAAGGCTGGCCTGGCTCCTGGAACCCGCTCGCCCCTCCAGCGTGGACAAGAGAACTTGGCCCAGCTGTGTCTCAAGAAACTTCCGGGAAGCTGGCCCAGATTTCTTGAATGATTTGTTTCCTGATCATCTTCGTTCAGGAGGGGAAAAACACACAGACACAATCCATCGTCGATTCCCAGGAAAATATGGGAAGATATGGGGAACATATGGGGGATCCTGTTATTTGAGTGTATTCATTGGTGTGTCCTTGGGCCCCTTCAGTCTTGGCTGTGCTTCGTTACGCCCTCCGTGCTGGAGCGGTGCACCCGTCGATGGCGCGCTGCCGTTTGCTGGGCACGGGTGGGGTGCGGCCGCCCGCGGAGGCACGCCCTCGGGCGGCCAGGCGGCGGCCAGCGCGGGAGCAATGCTCCGAGGGCGAAGGATGCCGCGTGGGCGAGGAGAGGGCGGAGGAGAGGGCGGAGGAGGAGGAGGAGGCGGAGTGAGGAGGAGGACGAGGAGGCGAGCAGCCTGCGAGGCGGACGGTCGGTGCCCGCGCGCCTCGAGGGGAGAAGGAGGAGGGGGACGAGGCAGAGGAGGAGGATGATGATGAGGAGGAGGAGGAGCAGGAGAAGAAGAAGAAGGAGGGTGAGGACCCCCCCCTTTTTGCCCGGTAAGTTTTGTTCCCGGCCCGGATCCTGACCCCTGGAGGCCCCCGCGAGGAGGCCCCCCCCGAGAGGTCCCTCGAGGCCTTTGGAGACCTCCGAAGGCCTCCAAGGGCAGGAGGAGGAGGAGAAGGAGGAGGAGGAGCAGGAGGAGGAGGAGAAGGAGGAGAAGGAGGAGGAGGAGGAGGAGGAGGAGGAGTTGGAGGAGGACGGGGAGGAGGAGGAGGAGGAGTTGGAGGAGGAGTTGGAGGAGGACGGGGAGGAGGAGGAGGAGGAGGATGAGAAGGAGGGGGAGGAGGAGGAGGACAAGTTCCTGCCGGCGCGGCGCGGGGCGCGAAGGACAAGTTCCTGAAGTATCTGCCCGAGGACGTGGTGCTGCAGGCCCGCAGGCAGGTCGAGGACCCCCGCCGCCCGCCGCCGCGAGCCGCTCTGTCCCCACCTGTTCGGGGGCGAGGATTAGGATGACGATGACGACGACGACGATGATGGTGAGGATGACGATGACGATGACGACGACGATGATGGTGATGGTGACGATGACGACGACGACGATGATGGCGATGATGATGATGATGATGATGATGATGATGATGATGGTGATGATGGTGATGGTGGTGATGACGGTGATGATGACGATGGTGATGATGAGGATGAGAATGACGATGACGACGACGGTGATGACGGTGACGATGATGATTGTGACGAGGATGACCACGACGATGACGACGATGACGATGACGATATTCATGATGATGATGATGATGATGATGATGATGATGATGACGACGATGATGATGATGATGATGATGATGATGATGATGATGGTTCATGGTGCTGATGCTGATTAAGATGACGTTTCTGATGATGGTAAGTATGATAATCATGATGTTGAGGATAATGATACGGATGATAATTATGATTATGATGCTGCTGATGATTCGGATGATTAGGTTGCTGACGATAAAGAATATGATGGTGGTGATGATGATGAGGATGAAAAGGTGATGTGCTGATAATGACGCTCACGAAGAGGATGATGATGGTGATGGTGATGCTGCCGATGATGATCATGACGATGATGATGATGATGATGATGATGGTGATGATGATGAGGATGAGGATGATGATGATGATCATGATGATGATGATTGTGGTCATGGTGGTGGTAGTGGTTGTGGTGGCGGTGATGGTGCTGGCGATGTTCTGAATGATGCTGGTGATGATGCTGATGATACTGATGACGATAATGTTGATGGTTTTGGCGATGACGATGACGATGATGACCATGGTGATGATGATGATGATGATGATGATGATGATGATGATGATGATGATGATGCGGATGATGTTGTTGATGATGACGATGATGATGATGATGATGATGATGATGACGGTGACGATGATTGTGAAGCTTATGATCATGATGGTGATTGTGATGATGACGATGATGATGACGAAGATGACGATGACTTTGATGGTGATGATGCTGATGCTGATGCTGATAATGGTGGTGATGAGGAGGAGGTGGACGGTTATTACGGTGATGGTGATGGTGATGGTCATGGTGATGATGGTGATGTTGATGATGGCGGTGGTGACGATGATGGGGGTGGTGATGGTGATGGTGATGATGATGAGGAGCGTGGAGGAGGACGAGGACGACCAAGATAATGATTATGGCTGGTGTTACTGATGATGGTGACGGTGACCGTTATGGTGATGATGCTGATGATTAAGATGATGATGATGCTAACGATGATGATGATGATGATGATGATGATGATGATGATGACTATGATGGTGATGATGATGATGGTGATCATGATGATGCCGATGAGGATGATGATGATGCTAATGACAATGATGATGACGATGATGATGATGATGATGCCGATGAGGATGAGGATGATGATGATGATGATGATGATGATGATGGTGATGATGATGATGATGATGATGATGATGATGATGATGATGATGATCATGATGATGATGCGTGTGTGTGTGTGTGCGTGCGTGTCTGTGTCTGTGTCTGTGTCTGTGTCTGTGTGTGTCTCGTTGTGTCGGTGTGTCGATCTGTCGTGGCACGTGCGTCTGGCCACCACTCCGTCTCCGGTCCTCTCGTTTTGGATCCTCTGGCGCTGCGCTGTGTAGCAACAGTTTATGATCCTCTGTTCCCCCATGCGTGCGTGTCTGCTTCTGTCGGCTTGCTGCTGCCTCGGCGCTCTCTTGGATCCGCGCTGCGTCGCTCGAGCCATCGTCGGCGCCCCAAAGCGAACAAAACCTCGACCTCTTTGGGAGCACGCGTGTGTGCGCGCGCGGTGGCTGGGCCGCCCCACTCGCGGAGATCGGCTGCCCCACGCCATCGGACACGCTGACAGTGCGTGCCACGCTGCATGGCTTACGCCTTCCTTCCAGGAGGGGGAAAAACACACAGGCACGATGAATCGGCGGCTCCCAGGACAATATGGAAAATATGGGAAGTGGGGGGGAAGACGAACATCCAGACAATATGGGACAAGATAGGGAATATTGGTAGTTGTGTGAATTCATTTGTGTGTCCCTGGGCCCCTTCAACCTTACCTGTCCACCCATGCTCAGCGACGTTTGCCCTCCCCTGCCCCCTGCAGCTGGCCCTGGGACACCCGGCGTGGCTCACACCGCACCTGTCTGCCCATGCCCACCGACGATGTCCCCCTTTTCTGGCGTTGGAGGAGTTGGAGGAGTTTGAGGATTTGGAGGAGTTGGAGTTGCAGGAGGAGGAGGAGGAGGAGCAGGAGCAGGAGCAGGAGGAGCAGGAGGAGCAGGAGGAGGAGGAGGAGGAGGACAAGTTCCTGGCCGCTGTCCGCTGGACACACCAAGCCGTCTGGTCCCTTCCAGTCGGTTGGTCCTCGGACTGCGCGTCTGGCGTGCATCCTTGCCGTCTCCAGTCTTCGCTTCGGCGACCCGATCGCAGCAGCAGCTGGTGCACCGCTGCGGGGGGCAGGCCGTGCTGATGCTGCAGGACGAACGCTCAGACTGGGGCAGCGTTGCCGAGATTGCGTCGCTGGCAGCGCGGCGTATCGCACAGCTTCCCAAGGTGCCCGATTGAGTCGGGCGCCACCTCTGGGCGCCTGCGGTAGCGCATGTCGTCCGAGCTGGCTCGGCTGAGCTGTCGCCGACGTGACAGCAAGCTGCCTTTTCCCCTATCTCGCGCCGTCGTCTTCGGCAGCAAATCGTGGGAGCCTTGTATACCCTCGTAATTCCGTGTTCACTGCTCCCAGGTAATGGATGATCTGGCGCAGACTTAGCGTCGACTAGCGTCCATGCAGCGTTGACTAGCGTCGATTCGCAAGAGTCAGGAAGGTGGTATGGGAGGCTCCCGTGAGTTGCCACAGAAGTCGTCCTCCCCCCTTCCCCCCGACCTGCCCCTCGTGCCTGCCGCGCGCACGCGCCGGCTCCAATGGCAGTGCTCCCGACTTTCTGGTGCACTCCTCGGCTTGCCGCTCGTGCTCGCGCATCCGCTCCGCCGCTCGCTCGCCGCATCGACCTCCTTGCAGAGGAGGCAAAGATACCCCTACCTCTGCCCTCTCCTCGTCTTCCCCTTTTTGAGGGCCTCCTGGGCCTCCGTCGTCGCCACCGCTGGGTTCGGCCGAAGTCCTGGTCAGAACGCACCCCGCGAGAGGTCCGGGGAGTGGCGGCATCGGTACCTTTCTCGGGCCGGACGAAAGGGGGGGATAGGGAAAGGGGGGGGGTACGAGATTTGCTGCATGCAGCTGGTTTCGGCCCCACCGAGGGGCCCATTCCTCGATACATAGCCGCCTCTGGCGCCGGGAGGCGCCGAGAACTTCAGCTGCGTGAGCTGATTCTCAAGCCCCCCCTCTGCTGTCCCCCCCTGTCGCCCGGCCCGACTTTCGGTTTCCCCCCCGCTGCTGGCGTCGGCGCGCTCCTAGCCCGCCGTCCAGCTCCTCCGTCGGTCCGCTCCCGCTCCCCCTCCAGCGCAAGTGGCTTGGCGCTCTCTCTCTCGCCTTGCCCTCTAAAGAGGAGGGGGGGCATCAACGGAGAGGAAGCATGTTGCCAAATAAGTTCCAGATGTCTAAAACATGTGTTCAACATGTTTCAGACATGTTTAGATCATCTTCCTACAATTGAGACACATCAAACATTCAATGACAGGATTGTTAGGGTGTCCATTGTCGTGGCATCCACAACTCCACAGAGGGAGGGGATGGATGCCGGTGCCACTGCCCTTCTCGCGTGGCCACGGCTGGCTCCTCCTCGCAGTTCTCGCCAGGACGCTCCCTGGATGGGCCCGGGCAGTGCCCAGGCATGCGGCGTTTTGATCGCCGCAATCCCAGACCCCCTCGAATCATGACAAAATCACGACGGGAGGTTTTTCACTATTTTCGGCCTTTGGGGGCCCTTACCAGCCCTCGGGACCGTAAAAAAACGACGCTGGACGAGAAATCGGTCCTGGGGAATGGGTCGAGACCTCTCGGGGGTCACGTCATGAACACTCATGACGTCGGAGGTCTGGGATGCACGGTCCCGGGAAGTCCCGACCCGTTCCCAACGCCCTGCTTTTTCGTTCCGCGTCGTCGTTGTCCCGTCCAAGGGCCCAGGAAGGGCCCCGAGCGGTTGAGAAGGCATATGTCCCGATTACCAGTGCCTTTTTTGTCTCCCCGTCCAAGTGCTCGCTTTTCATGCGTTCTCCGTGCTTTCCCGTTCGGCCAGTCGCCGGGGGTAGCGGTTTTGACCGCGCCTCAGGCGACATCGTGGTTAACGATTTCCCTTATCATGCGCCCGTCCACTGGAGTCATCGGCGTGTCCGAGGGAAACTGAGCGTGTGTGTGTGTATGTGCCTGTACGTGCGCGTTTCTTATCTCGGCTGCTGCACCTCCCCACAATGAAGCCAACTCGATTCAATGATGGTGATCATAATGAGAATGATGATAATAATACTGATGATGATGATGATGATGATGCTGGTGATGGTGATGATGGTGATGGTGCTGATGCTGATTCTGCTGATGCTGATGCTGCTGATGCTGATGCTGATGATGGTGATGACGATGACGATGGTGGTGATGATGCTGATGCTGATGCTGATGCTGATGATGCTGCTGATGATAATGAGTATGATGATGATGGTGATGATGATGCTGATGCTGATGCTGATGCTGATGGTGATGGTGCTTTTGATGGTGATGGTGATGGTGATTGTGATGGTGATGATCACGCGAATAAGAGAGGGCACAGGAGGAGACGGACGAGGAACAGGAGTAGGATAGATTCTGGATGAAGCCGCCTCATTGTGCGATAGTTCTGGCGAAGGGGGATGCGCGGGGATGCGGGACGGGGGCGGGGGACGGGAGGGTTTGGGGCAAGTGAAGGGGGAGAGTTTGGAGCAATCGTAGATGGAGAGTTTGGGGCAAATGAAGGGGGAGAGAGAGGATGGGGAGGGAGCGAGGGAAAGCGGGGAGCAGGGAGGACGGCGGAGAAGGGAGTAGGGGAGGGGGGGGCGGGCCGGGGGGGGGGAGGGAGGGAGGAGAGCGGGAGGAGCCAGGAGGCAGCGAGGACGGAACGACGGGGAGGGAGAAGTGGAGGTGTGTAAGGTGGGTGGTCGGAGGGAAGGGGTGGGGGTGCGGGAACTGCAGGAGGAGAACGAGGCGAACATGAAGGAGTTCGCCAGCGAGACAGGAGCCCGCCTGTGTCTGCTGCCTCCTCCTCCTCCTCTTTCCCCTCCCTCATCCTCTTCCCTCATCCCTTTCGTTTCTCCCTCATCCTCTTCCTCTTCTTCTTCCCTTCCTCATCTCCGCCCTCATGTTGTCTCCGGCCTCCTCCCTCCTCCCCCTTTTCCTCCTCCTCCGTCTTTCCGTTCCTCCTCCTCCTCCTCCTCCTCCTTCATCTCCTCGTATTTCTTCGTCCTCCTGCCTGCCTTCCCCGCTCGCCGCCCCCCTGGTCCTCTTCGTCGTCGTACCTTTCCTCGTTCTCCTTCTCCCCCCCTGCCTCTCCCCCCCGCCCCCCCGCCGCCCCGCCGCCGCCTCCGTGTTCCTCCTACCTCGCCCGTCTCCTCGCCCCACTGGCGTCGGCCCGGGCCCCCCCCCCTCTGCCCGTTTGAGCAGGGGAGGGCGACGGCCGCGGCACCTGGCAGGAGGAGGAGGAGGAGGAGGAGGAGGAGGAGGAGGAAGAGGAGGAGGGCCGAGATTCGAGGGCAGATCGAACTTATCTTTGGAGCTTCTGTTTCCCTTTTTGGGCTTCGGGGAGGCTGCATCCGCCTCGGCGTCGTCCTGGTCAAAACGCGCCCCCAGAGAGGTGCGGGGATCGACTTTTGAGGGGCTAGGTACAGGAGGAGGAGGAGGAGGAGGAGGAGGAGGAGGAGGAGGAGGAGGAGGTGGAGATGGAGGTGGAGGTGGAGGAGGAGAGGGAGGAGAGGGAGGAGAGGGAGGAGACGGCGGAGGAGGAGGAGGAGGAGGAGAAAGAGGAGGAGGAGGAGGGGGGGGGGAGTGCGGCCTGTGTGCAGACGGGCAGTGCGTCTGCGGCCTGAGTGCGGACGCACCCCTTTGTTCGAGGCGGGGTGATTTGCAGGAATGTTGTCGTTTTTTGCTTTCCTCTGCACGAACGGGCTGGGCACGGAAAGAATGGGTACAATGCCCAACAGCGGATCTGGCTCATTTTGAACAGGACTCGCTGTCCACGCCGCCGCAGCCTGTGTCCATTCGAGACAGAAGGCCGCCTGCCCAACAGCGGCCGCTGTTGGTTTGGTACAAGATTTGTTGTTGGGCATTGCACCCATTCTTTCCGTACCCATTTCGGGCGTCCAAATTTCCAGGCAGGGAAGACTTGCACATTCCTCTCGGCTCCAGCGCATCTCGACAACGACAGCACAAGCGCAAGCCCGACGATGTTGGCAAGCTCAGCACGATGGGGGAAGCAGGAGGATCGGCAGCAGGATGAGCACGAGCAAGAAGACGAGGACAATACACGGCTGACGAGGACTATTGATGGAAAGCATGCGGAGAAACAGCAGGATGTTTGCCAGCAGAAGAAGTAGCAGGAAGAGGAGGAGGATGAGGAGGAGGAGGAGCTGCAGGAGCAGGGGGGGAGGAAGGCAGCACGTGCGGAGGAGGAGGAGGAGTATCAGGGAAATGCACAGATGGGCCAAGGTAGGTGAATTAGCGTCGGGTGATTGTTCAGGCTATTTTTTTCGTACATGCCTGCGCCGGGCTTGAGCGCATCGGTCTTGTCAATGGGGCGGACTGGCAGTTCTTCGCCGACTGCCGGCAGGTTCGCCACGCAGCTTGCACTCCGCAGGTATTATCTGATGAATGGCAAGGCAACCAACCTCATGGGTGCTGCGTGGACTCACCCCTGCAAGCAACGCCGAATGGGGCGTTCTGGCAGGGCCGCGGACTTCCACCCCGACACGTGGGACCCCTTGCCCCTTGCCCCCCCCCTCCCCCGCCCCCGCCCCCGTGCCCTGACACACCCGCCTAGCCTGGCCATGCTCGGTACCGCCCGAGCCACCAGGGCCCAGTGGTGTCGATTGCTGATGGGCCTGTTTTCCACCACCACCACCATAAGTTGGAGGGGGGATGGAGGAGGACGAGGAGGAGGACGAAGAGGAGGTGGAGGAGGAGGAGGTGGAGGAGGAGGAGGAGGACCCCCTCCCCCTCCAACATATGGTGGTGGTGGTGGAAAACAGGCCCATCAATTGCACTCGGCGCATCACTCGGGCGCCCCCGTCGTCCCCCTCGTCAGTGCATGCTGCTGGCACATCGGGGCCTCCAGAGTCCGGAGCCCCCCAAAAAAGCTTGGCATCTCTTGCAAGAGGCCGACTTTTGCTTTGTCGCCGGCCTCCGCCGCCCTTCTGCCAGCAGCTTCCGCCGGCGGAGGCGGCTTACTTTTACTCCCGCCGCCTTCCGCGGCACTTCCGCGGCCTTCCGCTCGGGGGAGAAAAAGATACGGATACGTGTTGTCCCCCTTCGTTTTCGGCCTTTCCTGGTCCTCCTGGGGAATCCTCGTTGTCACCGCTGGATTCGCCTCGAAATTCTGGTCAGAACGCACCCCAAGAGAGGTCCGGGGACAACACGTATCCGTATCTTTCCGCCCCCCCTTCCGCCGGGGAAGAGATGGCAACCCTTTCGATCCTCGAAGGCAAGGCCTTTTTTTGCAACGCTCCACATGCCACGTGGGCCAGGTGCCGCACACGATGGGTAAATGTCAGGAGGGAAAAAACACACAGACACAATTAATCGTCATGCCCCAGGAAAATATGGGAAAATATGGGAAGTGGGGGGAAGACAAAAACCCAGAAAATATAGAAGAATATGGGGGATATTTTTATTTGTGTGTATTTATTTGTGTGTCCTGGGGCCCCTTCAGAATGGACGACATTGATCAGCGCTTCGGCACTGGCGACCCTCGGCCCGTTCCACGAATCCCCGTGTGCAGCCCCCAGGGTCCGTTTCACCGTTCCATGCGTTCGCGGCCCCTTCCGCCTGGGCGGCGGCCGTGCGGGCAAGGGTGGGGTCGCCCAGTGCCGCTGGCCTCGCCCGCGGACTCCGCCACCACAAGTCGGCGCGTTTTTGTTGTCGGGCACGCGCAGGCGGTGCATGGCCGCGGTCGCAGCAGGGGTTGGCAATGCCCCGTGAAGCCCGGCGCCGATCGCAACCGACCGCAATGGAAGTACAGCGCGCCTGGAATACGACATGATCCTTGTGGCTTGCCGCTAGGGGCTGGGTGTGTCGATCGACTACAGATTTTCATGATGTCTCCCCCAAGACCGCGTCACACAGCCACGGGTGTCTAATTCATGTGAGCGCTTGCTTGAGGGGCCTGGCCGGAAACATGAGTAGGCAGCTGCGGGACAAGAAGGACATGCGTCTGCACCCGGACCGCGTCTCGGTTCCACCGCGACCAAGTGTGTGCAGGGGGACCTGGAGAGGTGAGAGGAAGACTTGCACTCTGCTGAGAGCGAGGGGGGGATTTCGGGGCAGGAGGAGGAGCACTTGGCGGGACAGGAGGAAGCGAGCCTCCGACCTTGCCCAGCCTCCGTGGAGGCGAAACGGCTGTGCTCAACCCGGTGCAGCTTCCGTGGAGCCAGGGGCCGGCGTGCTGCTATCAATGCTATCAATGCTGACTGCTGCTGCTTCTACTCGCCTCTCCTCCTCCGCCTCCTTCGCCTCCCCCTGTCCCTCTCCTCCTCCTCCTCCTTCTCCGCAGCCTCCTCCTTTTCTCGGGGGCCTGGATCATTACGCCCCTGACTGCATTTTTTCTTCGACGGCGGTGGGTACTGATACGCCTAGGCGAGCCGAGGAAACGATGGTAAACGCACGGTTGAGGGTCAGCGCTGGAGCCGTAGCGAGAGGGCAGCCGGGCAAAAGAGCCTGAGGGATGGTCTGAGGATCTGGGGCTTCCAAAGTGAATTTTCACTCTGTCTGCTTTCGAGTCTGTTTTCGGGGTGTACACCACATATGGCTGTTTCGGTGTACCCACTTTTGTGCGTGGCGCACCAGACGACTCCTCGGCTCGCCTGGGGGCCGCGCACTTGTGGGGTGCCGCCGCTTTCTCCCTGCGCCTGGCTTTTGCTCCTTCGGGGCCGTGTCGTCAGCCACGAATTGTTTCTTTTCGGAAGCAGATTGCGGGACCCTTGCGAGCCTGCAGTTTTCCGCCTTTCCCTCCCCTCCGCCTTCTCCTACCCCCTTCCTCCTCATCCACTCCTCCTGCTCCTGTGGCCGCTGTCGTCCTTGCTCCTCCTTCCCCCCCTGCAGAAGGTATAAGTAGAGGGAGGAGGGACCGTTCGTTCCCCACCCGACAGGTCGGGGCCGCTAAATCTCAAGGGCAGACCTCCCGACCCGTCCACTCTGCGTACCGCGGCCGCCATATCCCCAGGCTCTCGAGTATCCCCGAGAATCCCGCCTCGCGTCACTCTGCATGAAGCGGCCGCCAGATCTCCAGGCTCCCTTAGTATCCCCGAGAGTCCCGCCTCCCGCCACTCTGCATACCGCGGCCACCAGATCCCCCTGGCTCCCGAGTATATATCCCCGAGGATCTCGCCGCGCTCCACTGTGCCCACCGCGGCCGCCAGGTTCCCGGGTCCCCCGAGTGCCCCCGAGTGGTCCCGCCTCGCGTCGACACATCAAAACATGACAGGGCGGTGTTCTTAAAAAGCAAACCTGGTACAGCACAATACGATAAGCTATGGCAGACAACAGCATAGCGCCACACCACCCAACATAACACATCCGAGCGTACCATACCAGACCAGGACATGCCGTACCGTATCATAGCACACCATGGCAGAGCAGTGCACACCCCACGGCACAGCATCACAGCACATAGCATCCCATGCCATGACAAAGCAAGCATACCGCAAGGCCACACCGCAGGACTGAACATACCACCACAGTCTTACACAACATGGTGACATATTGTACCATATCATAAGACAGCACAGCATAACAACGCATGCTTTGACATACCCGAGCACATATACCATAACATATCAGAGCATACCATAACGTAACATGCCAAATCATTTCATAACAACTCATACCATGACAGACGACACAACACTTCAACACAACATCACAGCACAGACAACATGGCGGTAGCATCGCATCACATAATACACATCATACATGGCAGATCGCTGCATATTTTGTTACATCGTAGCAGCACGTAGCGCAGCACGACACAATAAGCCATGCCATGCTGGATCATACATAACAGAGCGTAACACCGCACCTCATAATATAACATCACAGAGCATAACATAATACACCATGACTGAACATATCACAACATACCATGCCAGACCATATCACACTGTAGCACAGCATCAAGCGCTCAATTCCATAACATGAAACAGCATGCCGTGACAGAGGTCGACATAGCACATCAAAGCATCGCGTAAGAACACATGCCATGACATGTAGCATGAAAATGCGTACTAAGTCACAGCACGCCAGAACAGGACATAACAGGACACATAATAACAACGCATGCAATGACACCATGGAGCTTGCAGAGCATAACAGAACACCACACATCATGAAACAAACACAGAGCACACAAACACCTAGCGTAGCATATCGAAGCATACCATTGCACAATGTCGCAGCACACCATCGCAGCATTTCGTCACATGACAGAACATTCCATAAAACACAAGAACACATACATATTCTATCGCACTACAATGCAATCAAACCCGACGTGCGCTCCGAGGTCGGGGTAGCCACCAGGGCAAAGAGGCGCAGGACCGATCGGCCGATGTATCTATCGTGGCAGGCGTCACGGCGTTTCGGCGGATCGTCGAGAACAGAACAGACATACTTGAGCTCAACATAGTAGAACATTATCAAATCAGCATCATATATCGAATAGAGCACACCGTAACCAGCATAACATGGCAGAACTGCTGAGTTATTGCTATAACATGATTGGCTATCATGCACTATAGTATAGCGACCTGAGCACAGCCTAAACAGCATCACATATATAGCATAGCATAACCTGACATAACATACATATCAAGCTATAACGTGGTGTCCACAGCGCAGAGCATATCATATCATACAATGACAGAGGTGAGCATTACAGGGCATACTTTTAAATACGAGAAACATAAGCTTGAAGAGGAACTTCATACCCTAATCGGCCAGACCATCACACAATCAAACGCGACGTTCGCGCCGAAGTCAGCCGGCCCACAGGTACAAACAGGCGCAGCAACGACTGATCGGACGACGTATCTAACGTGACAGGCGTCACGGCGTCACGCCGTCCCGTCAACAACACAAGCCATCATATTGTAGCATCGCAGAATCGAGCCTGATCGATCATAACACAGTTGAACATTGTTAAATAAAGCAGTGACAAATTAAGGGTGCACTGTCAAACGCAGCATCCGCGCCTGGCCACAGACCGATTAGACGACATATCGAACGGGGCAGACGTCACGACGTCACGCCGCATCGCCGAGACAGAACAGAAACAACCTTACTTCGTGTATAGATCCGAACAGAACCGAACACAACGTGATAGAGTAGAAGTCAGCAGAGACCGAGTACTGGCGGCCAATCATACGCGACATGCGCGCCAAGCCCAGGCTGGCCACAGAAACAAACAGTAGCAGCAACAACCGACTAGATGCCATAGCAAATGTAAAAGGCGTCACGACGTCACGCCGGTCCGTCCACAACATAACACAAAGTAGCATAATGTCAAATACTACGCTGGGCCAGAATCGAAGCGAACGTAATACAGCAAAGTGCTAGGCATACGCCAGCCACCACTTCACGGCGTCTTATCGAACGCGACATGCGCCCCGTCGTCAGAGGAGGATGGGGCGTCCAGAGCAGCTGAAGGAAGGAGAGGCCCGCCTCACCTCCTCCTCCTTCGTCGTCCGCCTCCTTCTCGTGCTGCTGCTGCTGCTGCTGCTCCTTCTCTTCCTCTGTCAACATGCTGCAGATCTTCTCCGAACTAGTGTGTGCGTCTCGCAAGACTCGTTTGGGGGGCTGGTCTGTCGCTCCAGGGACTTGTTTCGGTTTCTTCTGTCAGGCGCCCTGGGGTTGCTAGACTTTGGTAAACCTCAACTTGCGACCTGGCCCGGTCGCCGCGCTGGCCGACACCGTTGGGCCCCGCCCACGTCGTTCCAGGAGGGGCGCGCACCGTTGGGAGCATACGCCGAAGGTTTCGGTTGGGATCGCTCGAAACAATCTAATCTTCGTGATCGTTTTCTTATTCGTTGTTTTGGCCAGGGGGGGGGGGGGGGGGTCGCGCGGGCCCCTCGTCCCCCGTCCCCCACCCAAAAGGAGTAGAATTCTTGGACTGTTTTGGGCGCCTGTTTTGGCATGTGAGCCCCCCCCCCTACCCCCCCGTAGGACCACTGTTCCAACAGTCCGCATCAAGCAGAGGTCCAGAGCCAGACCCCCCCTCCAACCTCCCCTTCTGCCTCATGTCGAAACGAGCGGGAGCGCGCCTGGAAACCCACTCCGCGCACCCAAAGGAATCGTCAGAGGAGCGCCTTCGTCATCGGGAGGTGTCTCACAGAATGCGCCGCTCTCCTTCGCGTGAGCATTTGCTGAAAGCACTAGACCGTCAACAATTTCAATATTTCCTTGTCAATCAAGCCGCGCAGATGGAATGTGGGCTCCATTTTCATGTTCTGAAGTCTCGAAGTTGAGGAACGCTCGTCGCTGCACATGTACCGCTTGCTCCTGAAAGTGGAGATCTAGCCAGTCTTAGCTGTTGCCATTACCATCCTGATAGCTAATCCCGTTTGTGTTACTCAGTTTTCTCGCGATCGCAGTTTTTGTTGTATGGTGCTCGTCTGGGCAACATCCCGCGGATTGCTGACAAGATCCCCAAAGGTTGTTACTATTCTTCTTTGTTTGCGTCCCCTTTCCTGCCTTATACTGTTGCTGCTGCTGCTGCTGCTGCTGCTGCTGCTGCTTGCTCTCCTCCTCCGCCGTTTTCCCCCGCTTGCTTCTCTTGACAAGATCCGCTTGGCCGAGACCAGCGCTCGTTCCGGGAGCATCGGGCGGCCTGTTGAACCCACTGCCGACATGCCGCCCCTCGCATTCTATGAGAGGGAGGTGGAACGGTGGATCAGCCCCGAACCCTCAGGGCGGGGGGCGGTCAGGGATAGCTACAGACTCGCGCCTCGAGGGCCCGAGCCGGAGTCACCCCGGACCGCACTTGGTCCCGGTTCACTGGGGCGTCCAGCCCTCCCGAACGAAGCATCAGGGCCGGGGGCAGTACAGATTCGCGACGCGGGGGCGCACACCGCAGTTGCCCCGGACCGCAGTTGCCCCGGATAGCTCGGATGTTCACCCCCCGAAGCATCAGGGCTGGGGGCAGTGACCCAAACCGGAGTTACAGGCAATCCGTATGGTAAGGATGGGCAGCCTTCCCCAGGGTACCGCCCTTTCGGCCCATCCTTGGCCACTTTCGCTGGCCGCACCCCTCTGGAAAAGTCTCGAAGTGGCCTTCCAAGGCCCCTGCATCCTTATCGTGCGTCCTTATTATACGGGTTGCCTGTACCCCGGAGAGCAGTCGTCCTGGATAAATTCGGGCGTCCAATCATGAGG